CTCAATATTGTGACTAAGGCATTATGAAATCACAACCTGGTTTAACAATGGATTAATCCTGCCAAGCTACAGGTCACACATAACGGCTCCAAGCCCTATATAAATTCACTAGCAGACAGGCTGTGTCTCCTTCAAGCAAGGGATATCCTACTTAATCCTCCTGATGCTCATCCAGAGAATAACCAGAGGATAACGGAGTGAGTAGGAATTCTGCTCAGTGTGACATTGTTAATGTGGGGGCCCCAGCCATCATTTAGCTACCAATATCCAGACTGACTCACACATGCTTCTCGGTCTTGTGATCTTTCTCCCCCAAGATAGTTGAGTTAGTGTTCCAGCACTTGTAACTTTACATGTCAGTTCCTTTCTTTTGAAAATGGTTTTATATGGTTGCCCATTTTGTTTAGTGGCCTCTTTATTCATTTTTTTTTTTTTTTTTTTTAATTATACTTCTTTTTTGCTTGCAACTTTCCTATTCCTCATCACTCCACAGCAATAAGCATATTCCTATACTTCATCAGCGTCAGACCTGTTTAGGATTATACCTATAGTAGCCTACATGTTCTCGCTTGAGTCCAGGACTGATCCTGAGACCTATACCATTACCAACAGCCTTCATCAATAATGTAAAGTATGCCCATTAAAAGGGCCTCAACCATCCCGTGAAACGAGCCTCGCTTTGGAAAATGACCTTGACTCTCACTGTGATGCACTGTGTGTACAAGAAATGTATTTTCACTCTTCTTCTCACCCTACCTTTATGAACAAACACTTTCCACATATTTCCACAGCCAGCACCCAGTCGAAAAAATGGCTGTACTAGTGGCAATCAAATCTTCGCTAACATTCAACTCCATTGCAGTATCTTGGATCCAGCTGATCATTACATTATTCTCTTGGGCTCACTGAATAACTCTCAAAATACACCTGTGAATGTCTATTCCCCAAACATTCACCAACTCCGCTTCCTAAGAAAACTGAAAAAGAAGATTGACTCTGTACAGCAAGGTTCTCTCCTATGGTGCGGGTTCTTCAACATAGTTCTGGATGTCTCCATGGACTCCTCTACCTTCCCTAGAGGTCACAAACCCTCCCTTTTGAGAGGATTTGTCCTACTAGATGTGAGGTGTCTCCTTTTTAGAACATCTTCAAACCTTTCTTGGTCCGATAGGCTGGCAACCTTTAAAATGTTCAAACTGCAGCAGCTACTATACATGTTTAGATCACTTCTTATTCCTTTACCGTATGTATACTTTAGAAAATTGCTCAGTAGATATGTTTGGCAAGATAAAAAGCCCAGATGCTCTCACCCCAAACATAACAAACACAGATCGGTTGGAGGTATGGGGTATGTTGACTTCGGAGACTATTACAATGCCACCTTGCTGGCGCAGCTTAAAGCATGGGTCACAAAAACACCACACACTGCTTGTGAAAAGAAGTATAATCTCTCCAAGTCCAAGGTAATTACCCTACAAACGCATGTATCAGTTCCTCACTTACACCACTACCAATTCCCCTCTCTGTCATTACAACCCTAACACCTAGTCTCTCCCTGAAGACATGGATTGAGTAAGGTATTACCCATGGCACAGATTTATATTCCTCGCAGATGCTCAAACCATTCCCCACACTACAAAAAAAGTACAGTCTTCCACCCCTTTGAATATTTCCATTACTTTCAAGTAACACATTGCTTACTCCACTCTCGAAACTTATTCTGACATATTCACAGACAAGCTTGGCAATTCCTCACAGATGTAAACCCACATACCAAAAGCAAAACACTTTTTCATGGCTTACAAAGCAAACTGGCTTTCACAAAGCTAATACCCCACTTACAATTGAAACACGACATAGGTGCTTCCTTTACCAGTGATTGGGCACTGACTGTTCCTCTTACCATCCATAAACATACTCTCTGCTGGTACATTACTCTATGTGTCCTCCACAAAATGCACCCCTCGACATCTTCCCTGTGTGGGAGAGGATGTGGGTCTGTAGGCAATATGTGGCACATCTTTTAGTTCTGTTGCAAATTGTCCACATACTAGTCAGATGTCTTCCAAATGGTTCATGAGGTAACAAACCTTCACTTGAATCCATCCCAAGAACTTTCCCTATTAAACATAGGTATAGATGTTCCCGCACCCCTCAAAAACAGTCTCATACACATTCTTCTAGCCACAAGACTAGCGATATTGGCTGTCTGACCCTCTTCCCACTAGATCGGAAATCATTGCTTTAACTCACACACATGGCATGTATGAACGCCTATATGCATCTAGCAAATGATACCTCCATACATCTCAAACACATTGGTCTATGTGGCTCACCTGGTACAAAAAGCAGCACACTGATGTGGGTTGAACACAATAGGGCAATTGCAATATTATATCTACTACATTTTACCTATGTGTTCTCATGACACTTCTGAATTGTTCTGTAATACTTAATGAAGTGACAATGTTATATGCGATACATATGCAAATGCTTTTATGTATTTTTTGCCCTGCTTGCTATGTTAACTGTTAAAACGTCAATAAAAAATTATTGAAACAGAGAGTGTTTGTGGCACTCTTTAAAGTTCTATTGTGCCTCCATATGACAAATTTGTTGTTGAGGAGACCGATTCCTGAGAGTGTGGAGGCAAACTTAAACAGAAGTGTCCATCAAGCAGTGGGCAGATCCATAGCCAATTGACAGCCTGCTATTGGCTATAGAATCTGCCTTCTGCAGTTTCCTTTTAATCACAAGTATAGAGCAGACCTGATGGGGAACTAGTGTCTCCTCTTCCTCATCACACTCCACCAACGTTCAGCTTTGCTAGTTGCTAGGAGACTGTCAACTGTGAAGCCAACAGTGTCCTTAACATCCTGGTATGTAGAGAGAGGGGTAGCAGTGCAAATATGCCACTCTGCTACACAGCATGCAGAGGCAGCCACTTTGCCTTTCTCTGTATAATCAACTTACACTTGCTCTTAATTACTACATTTCTAGGAATTGGTGCAGTAATAGCAATATTACAGTGCATGAGGAACAGGAAAGATTTAGTAGTATTGAGAACTATCTGAATCTCTTGCATACTTCAGCTACCTAAACTGCCAGCAGGGCATGTTGAATCTGATGCAGAACCTTTTAAAGGGCTATACCACCAGAAAAAAAGTGATTCTAATGCATTTATTGAATTTCCCTGATTGTTTTTGTTCTTGTCCCATTAATGTAGTGAGAGTGTTCTTATCTGGCCCTCATCACCATCCCTGTAGCTTTGATCAATCTGCACATAATTTCCTGCTACATACAATTTAGGGAAAAGTGTTTTTGGCAGGAGAATCTTTAACTCTATAATCACCCAATCACATTTAATAAGTCAATGCTGATTACTGTGTTTCAGAAAGCAGTGCTCTGCAGCAATCACAAATTTCCTAAAAATAGAAAATGAATAGCATATAGATAGTAAATAAGACATTGAACTGTTCATATCAACCTATGTTCTGAGGCTGTCAGAGAGACTCCACTGACCCTGTACACATTAATTGTTTGATGTAAAACACAGTGAATATGTTGAGAATGATACATCGATCAAGCTATATTAAACTCCCAAGAATCGCATTAGAGCATCTCATTATCTTCTCCAATTATCTCATAAAATAAACTCTGTTTGGTTAGCAAGAAAAAATATTAGGGAAGAAATAAAGTACCTAACCAAGAATATCAACAAGTCTGTCATTATCTTACTACAAATGATTAATTAATGAATGCTTATAGCAATGTCAAGACAATCCATCATTCAGCCTTATAGGCTGTCTGGGACTTTAATAGATTAACCCTGACAATGTTTATGTTATCTATGACCTGTCAGTAAGCACTGGGAGAAAAGTGACAAACTGATTGCAGTTGTTAATTGAATTGATCCACCACCATGCCCAATTGCAAAATAAATTGATGAGGAAATTGATTATGTGAAAAATTACTTTTATTTAACAGTGCAACAGATATATTGTATGTTTATTTCACACAATACTACCACTTTAAAAGCTTTGCAATAATCACACTATGTAGTATAAACACTTATCATGCCATCTTCTTTTTCACAAAATACTGTTTTCCTTTGTTCTTCACTCATTTTTGTACTTCAGTGCTGTTGATCTCTTCTGCCCTTTTTTCCTGTCTACATGCACTCACTCATGTTTCAACTCCAATCATTGCTCTTGACCAGAATTTTGAAAGTGTCAGTTGTGGACCATGCCTGCACAATGTGTTTTGGTGTTGCTGATTGTAACAAGAAGTGCCAGGAAAAGGACTGTCATGGTAAGATCAACAGGTATTATTATTTAAAGAGATTGAAAACAACTTGAAATTACATTAGAGGTCCTGCTGTGTAATAAAAGTATTTGAATAAAAGACATAACTGTAAAAAAGACACAGGATACATGCCTCTCCAGCCTGTATACAAAAGGATAAAGCAGTGATGTGAGGTCAGAAAGAGGAGCCAATAAGAGCAGCAGTGGACCATGGCCATATTTGTTTCCCAGCAAACGTAGGGGGATAATCTCTCTGCAATAGAACAGGTTTAAGAATTATGGAGGGCAGGATAGCCTGAGAACATAGGTTGAGATAAACAGTTCAATGTCTTATTTACTATCTATATGCTATTCATTTCCTATTTTTAAGAAATTTGTCATGCAACACTGTACATAAATGACATTTATGTACTTTTTTCCTCGCAAATAGAGCTTTCTTCCAGTGGTATCTGCGGTTTATTTTTTGCGCTATAAAAAAAACGCTATAAAAAAAAAAACCAATTTTGAAAAAAACATTTTTTTTTACTTTTTGCTATAAAACATATAGAGTAGAAAAAATTTTAAATATCTAATTTCTGCAAACATTTAGGCCAAAATGTATTCTGCTACATGTCTTTGCTAAAAAAAATCTAAATACATGTACCGTATTTTTCGCTCCATAAGACGCACTTTTTTTCCCCCCAAAAAAGGGGGGAAAATGTCAGTGCGTCTTATGGAGCGAATATAAAGCGGCTGGTCTGCGGCCACCATGTCAGAATACTGGGCCGGCCGCTCAGCTGTTCTCTGCGGCAGGAACTCACCTGTTCCTCGGTCCAGCGCTGTAGTCTTCCCGCACTGGCTTCTTCCCGCCCCGTCATCTGTGACAGCCAGGTGCCCACTGCGCATGCGCGAGAAGTGCTGTGCTTTGTGAATGGTCCGGTGTCTTCTGGAACACAGGACAGGTCCCAAAGATGCCGGGCCATTCACAAATCGCAGGTCATCTCCTGTACTGTCCGCAGTCTCTGTTCATCCCCTATACTGTCCGCAGTCTCTGGTTATCCCTGTACTGTCCGCAGTCTCTGGTCATCCCCTGTGCTGTCCACAGTCTCTGGTCATCCCTGTACTGTCTGCAGTCTCTGGTCATCTCCTGTACTGTGTCCGCAGTCTCTGGTCATCTCCTATACTGTCCGCAGTCTCTGGTCATCTCCTATACTGTCCGCAGTCTCTGGTCATCTCCTATACTGTCCGCAGTCTCTGGTCATCTCCTGTACTGTCCGCAGTCTCTGGTCATCTCTTGCACTGTCTGCAGTCTCTGGTCATCTCCTGTACTGTGTCCGCAGTGTCTGGTCATCTCCTGTACTGTGTCTGCAGTCCATTGGTTCAGAATATTTTTTTTCTTGTTTTTCTCCTCTAAAACCTAGGTGCGTCTTTTGGTCAGATGCATCTTATGGAGCGAAAAATACGGTAAATCAATTGCTTTATGTGAAAGTTTTATAGCATCTACAATGGTGGTGTATATATACTGGAAATTAAAAATTTTTTATACTAGTAATGGCAGCAATCAGTGACTGTGGGACTGCGGAGGGCATTCGGACACTGGGTGGGAATTGACTAACTGCCACGGATATCCCAATGACACTGATACAGTGATCAGTTCTAATAAAAAGCACTGACACTGTACTAATGATACTGGGCAGGAAGAGGTTAACATCTAGGGCAAGCAAAGGATTAACCATGTGCTGTTTTACATTATGAACTGTGTGTTTTTTAGGGAGACATGCTGCTTTGCATTTCTCTGCTGTGCAGAGAAATACAAAGCAGCATGTCCTTCCTGGCAGGAGAGAAACCTGTGTTATTTACAGGTCTCTCCCCTGTCAGCTTTCCCCTAGGACATCCCTAGCCGCCAATGGTGGTGCGGGTAAGGTGGCGCGTTCACTCACTACCCGGAAATTAAAATCACGTGTATATATATATATATATATATATATATATATATACGTGATTTTGCGCAGCCCTGATGCCCTCTAGCAGTACTTCTACTATAGGGCAGCGGGCAAGCAGTTAAAGATCATTTGCTTGCTGTTAAGAATATGTAAATAGTATAAAGAAGAATATGTAAACCCAACATTTAATATTCCTGATATGTGCCTGTTGTATGTTCCTGCCCGTCCCTCTGCTTTCCTAATAACAACTGACCAAACTAAGCAAGAGAACACACAGTGGTCAGTTCTCTAGCTGTGCTGGGAACTCAGCCTGCTCTCATCCAATTATCAGTCTTGTCCTGCCCCCCTCTCACCCCCCTGCACAGCCATTCACTGGGAAGATCAGTGTTCTACTGTTTCTCCTCCCCTAGATCTTACGCATCTGAGAACAGAGGGAATGGGATCACTTCTAAAAAAAGGAAAAATAAAGGTTTTTTTTCATTTTTATTTTCTATCGTTACACATTTTTTTTGCCTTTCTTTTGTATTTTAAACCAAATGAACTGTTTTACAATCACTTTAATGTCTATAGTCTGGGTACAGGTGCATTTTAAACAGATCTACATAAAAATATTCATGCAGATAAAAACTGAAACACTAATTCCCATGATTCTCTCATTAATATTAGTATTACTTCATATGCATACTGTATTTATAGACACCAGAAGACATTCCTGCCACTATAATTGCACTGAGAAGATGGAAGCTGCATTATATTCCAGATAGGGTGAATCCAAAACTTGCTCACTTGACTCACATTTCTACCTTAGCCTAATGGAGACCAAATGTGTGGCTCATGGAAAACAGAGGTTCCTGTTACCTGGCTCAGGAGTACAGTCCTCCTATTAAATAAAAATATTACGAGGGATTAACCCTAAAGCATTGAATACTTGACTCCCTGGATGAGTCTACAGTACACTCAAGAGGCAAAGCAGACAGCAAGCCTTGGTGAAAACACGTGTGCAGTTTTTTTATAAGTCTATTTCTAGGATGTATAGGCATCAAAACACCAAAACAAAACAAAAAACCCAGAAAATAAATCCTTGCCATTTTGGGTGACTTATTGACACACTGGGCTCTGACTAACCATCATGGAGCAGTCTTCTGCTGCCCAGGCAAAAGTCAGAAAGAAAAAACGTCCTAGCCACATAGGATCTGATTTTCACCACACAGGCAGTTTTTTGCTTCCTAGTCCGACATTCACAGAGTACTGGATTACAGGGTGGAGCATCCTCCCTTAGCCAAATGGAAGCTTTAAAGAGTCTAGATTAGCCAAAACCTACTTCAACAGGACTCATAACCTCTTCAATCAGCTCAGCAAGCTCACTACACAGCAGAAAAGCAGTCTGCCATAACATATGACAAATATATCTCCTAGCCTGGACACAACCAGCAATTCTTCTTGGCCTTCTGTTACCATGGGTTATTGATGACTATAGGGTTGACTCATATAAAACAGAAAAAGAAAATGAGAACAAAGGAGCTGTTGGACCATATGTTCAATGACAATGATTGGTTAATTTCTTTCAATTTGATTCCTATTTAGAACTATTTTATTATAAATTCACTGATTTGGATGTGCACCTAGGCATCCTTAAATATATTATATAGTGAATTTCCTCTAACTACTTTATTATTAAATAAACCACTCAAAAACCCATCGGTACTATTATTTTAAAATGCTTAAATTATAGCTTTGTATCTTTACCGAATTCTTGGTATCTGTAGGAGAGTAAATTGCCAGTTGAAAAATGTGCTCATATTCCACGCGTAATTTAATGGTTTAAAGGTAAATGCGGCCAGGGGCATTCTCTGGTGAGAAATTGAATGCTATTGGCTAGAGCTGAAGTTAAGAATGACTCTAGTTTGTCATGTCAGAGATGAGAAATGGCATCTTGTCTTAAATCGTCTCATGAAAGCCATCCAGGTAACGAATATTAAGTATTTAACAACAGCAATTCCTCCTTGGAGACAATGCAAAATAGGAAAACATTTTATATTGACATATTCTTGTTCAACCATAAGACTCCTATATATATTTCATTCATAGGCTTTTATTTTTACTAAAATGTGCCAGAAGGGATTTTAAAACAAATGTAATCATATATAATAAATTAACAAAACGGAATTAAGTAGAACTTTTCCACAATATAAATTTTACACCTTGTAAACGTGCTTTGTGGCTGATATGAGCCTTCCTGCTCTCAGAAAGCGTTTAATTAATAATACAGCTAAATTGCTATTTTTATACACATTTTTTTTATTTTAGCAGAGTTTGTATTTTGAATTGTAAACTGTAAACAATTTAAAAAAATATTAGGTTTAGAGCTTAACTCAAAGTGGTTGTAAAGGCAAGATATTTTTTACCTTTATGCATTTTCTGTATTAAGGTAAAAATGTACCCAGGTCCTGCATCTTTCCAGCATTGTGCCCACTTGCAGCAGTGTTGGTTCTCTCTCCCTGCTCTCCTAGGCACAAAGACAGACAGCAGGAGACACTAGCTGCTGCTGTTAATCAAATCCTGTGAGGAGTAGGGAGCAGGGGATCAATACACTATGCATTTCTATGGATGCACACAGCCTGGCTTGAGAGTGAGCCTACAGGTGTTTCACCATTGAAAGTGGCCTATGGTGGCACACAGAAAAGGGGATTTTTGAGAGTGCTGATGGGGGAAGAGGTTCTGTGAAATACCACATTGACTTTAAAATCAGCTAAATAAATTTCTGCAAGAAAGCAGCCACAGCCTGGGTTAAAAAGTCTGCCACCTGCCAGTGTGTGTGTGGAAGTGGTGGCCTCTTTGAGGTCAGACTCCCCTCCTCCCCCATAAAGAACTGGGATTTATGGTAATTAACTGCCCTAAAAATAAATAATCTGACTCTAAATAATGACACATAATTCAGCAATTACATTAGTAATGCATTCATTGTTCCCAATAGCTAATAAAAATATAATGTTATACTTTTATAAAATGTTATGATTTAGTTAGCTTGTGTACAAATAGTTACACTAAATGTCATTTTAGACTGTTAGGTGCCTTCTTTTAAATCAAGACTGCTCAGAACAAATCAACACAAATGTCAGGGAACCTTTGCATGATTATAATTTAGCTTCCGCTTTATACCCAGCAACTATTTTAGTATGAGCAGCAACTTTGACCAAACTTTTCACGCACATGGAAAGTGTCATTGTGACCCATGTTAATGAAAGGGATGGCATACGTTCTCTGCCCTTTAACAGCACTGCTTATCTTCAGTATCACTTTAGACCATCAAAGGCCTTTGTAGCATCCTTCTTATCTTTTTTTGACAAAAGTAGCCAAAGAAACAGCAAAGCTGACCGAGAAAGACAAAATATATTTATTTAAAAGTTCAGTTAACTTAAAAATAAAACTTTTGTTTTTGAAAGAGTTTCTAACACCATTTAAGTGTGCATTATATTCTCATTTCTGTACCCATTTTCCGATTGTAACACTTACGGGTCTACTTATAAAAAAAAAGTTCACATAGCTATTTATCCAGCAAAACTGCCTATACATTCCTCCTGTATGGACTTGTAGACAGGAGAGTTAACTTGTTGACCCTTTAAGTAGGATTTTGCTTTAAATCCTTCCATTAAGTGAGGTGGGGTTCAAATTCTTCCTGACAAGATTCTTTATAAACTGGGGGTAGAGTCTAGCCAGTGTTCATTTGGCTGATGGAAAGGACAATGCCTCATCTAAGGATTAAGTACTTATCTTTTCTGCTAACTCTAGGATGGGCACCCCTTCTACCAGGACAAAAAAGGTATACTGCCATGGAAGAATCTGAGTTGTGTTTATGGAAGTAAGTGACTGCTCTTGCTTAAACTGTAACTGGGGACTACCTTGCAAGTAATACAATGGAATTGTACAGAGCCCGTGGCTGCTTTAGGCTCCATGGACACTGGCTTAAAAAAAACTCCAGTGCTCTTGGCAGAAAAAAAAGCTAATTTTGAGTGTTTTTTGGACTAGTGTTTAGGAGCGTTTAGCACTTTTTTGAAAATGGCGTTTAGCGCCTTTAGGGCGTTTAGCTCCCCGAGGAAGACACGAGTAGACAGTGAATTAACACGTAGGTACGCGAGTACACAGTTTCCGGTGTGTGGTGACGCACTTCCGGTGTGCAACGCCATCTTGGTACACCCAGGAAGTCCCACACACATGCAGTATACCCACACATCGGTGAGGAGGGAGAACTGCTAAGAATGTGAGTGTCATTCCTTACTTTACAATAAAGGAGTCATATTTACATTAATACTACACTTAGAGGGTCTCTTTTTCTTGGCTCACTGGGCTGGTGAGCCATTGTCCTCTAGAGACATCTTGGCTGATCAGGGGCAATAGGAGCCCCATAAGGAGATCCATTGAAGGAAGAAAGCTACTGGCCCATATGGTTTAAAGAGCCAGGGTGATCCTGCAAGCGTGTTGGCCCCTAGGGGTCACTGGGAGGAGGTGAGGAGGCAATCTAGCTGCAAATAGAAGAAGATTGTAGAGATGTTTGGCACAATCATGGAATTGTTAAATACCACTGCACATTACATGATTGTATTCATCACCAAACAGACATTGCTGTGATCATTTTTTGAAGAGTGGACACTTTTTTGCATTTTTTTTTGCACTTTAGCGCTTTATGTTTAGCCCCTTGGTTGATAAGGTTTTTTTTTGATATATGGTTAAATATTTAATATATTATCAAGTGAAAGGCACATATTTTATATTGTATTAATTTGGTGTGTGAGCACGTTTTTTCAGTGAGGGGCACAGATATTTATTTCAGGTCTGACATTATATATGTTTTACACCATGGTAATGAAGAGTTACATTGTATGAATTTTGTTATATTTTTCATTTTATATTATTTATATTTTAGTGAAGAGCCATATTGCATGTA